AACTTTCCAAAGGCCTCCATATCCTCCACCCAAACATGGTTTTGTTTTTTCTCCACCCCCCCAATTTTTTCTACCTTGCTGGCCTTTTTTCCTTTCTTTCTTTTCTCTTTTTTTTTTTTTTTAATTTGATAGTGCCATAGTGTAACTTTGACTGAGTGTTTTGCATGTGCTATGCTTGTTCTCTATCTCTCTTTATTTAGTCATTTGTTTCTCTTACCTTAGTTCTGCATAAACTAATAGATCACTCACATATATATATATATAAGTGTGTGTGTTTGCATTATCCCACTTGTACATATACATCTACCTCCTGAACCTTTATGCTGTTGCCAATGCACTTGTACACTTTGCTTCTACCTCTTCACTCCAAACATTTCTTCCTGTTGGAGGATTTATTTATTGCCAGTCACTTCTGCTTAGAGCCTCTTTGCTATTTGCTTTTTGTATTTCACTCAACATTACTGCTTTTTTCCTTCTAATCATATCTTTTGAAACAAAGCAAAACTAGTAATAACTTGCTCAACTTATAAAATTTCCCATCTCTTTCTTATCCCTGGTTAGTTTCCAGCAATGTGGTTAAAACTCTGACTTTTTATTAGTTCACTGCTGAGATCATTATTAAACACTTGTTAGTGGATTATTGATATCCGATTCATTTCACACTTAATTCTTACGTTTATAAATATCTGACTGCTGCTTCAGTTTATTCATGTGTCTGAAATATGAAGAAACTAAATATTTTATTTTTGCATGAATACAGAACTGTTTTTACAATAATAATTTGAATAGGCTGAATCATCGAATTAAAAAAAAAGAAAAAAATAATTTATGTTAACCATATGTTAATTACAACTTAAGAAACTAAAATATTAATTTTGGCTAAGATCATCTAATTTTGTTTGCTTTGTCGATTTCATTGTTCCATTTGAATTGCATTTAAGATATTTTTCTCTTGATAATTATCTCTGAGTTGCGTTTACTAATATAATCAGTCTTGAAGAACTACATGGCATATACCTAGACCCAGGCAGTGGAATGAGAATAGCCTACCCTCTGTAGATTAAATAAAGGGTTTTGCTCAGAGCTCCTTGTAGGTTACCCAGATCAATATACATCTGATGAAGGCTAGAGAGCACAATGGCTGAAATGTTATGATAACAACAAACATGAGTCTGAATATAGTGTAAATAAGGATAACTTCTCATCCCAGAAATTCAGACAGAAATAATCAATTTTATTGTGAAAAAGTTAGTGATGCTGCCAGAAGGCAATCAACACTGTATGCTCCAATACTCAATTGCCATGGTTTTGAATCTTTCATGCCATTACCTTCTGTATATTTTGGCAGAACCCTCTTAGCTTTTGGATGTTTATTAATGTGATAAGAACATTTGACCTTTGCATCATCATATTTATTTGAAATGGATTATTATTGGAATCTTAACTTATAAGTAAACTTCTGTATACAGTCACATACAACAACAAAAAACAAATAACATTATGAAACATGCCATTGTTTTTCAATAAAACATTTGCTATATAAGGAATGTATGAAAAGAATTTGACTGAAATCATTTTAGGTTTCAACTCTATCTTTACTTACAACCACAGAATCAGGCCTGGAGTAGGCAAAATGCAAAAAAAAAAAGACAATTGATACTGGGCATATAGACAGTTGGTGACATATGGTCTGATCTTTGCAAACAGGAGTGACCACACCAGATGAATCTTAGGCGGAAGTCACATGACTTACCTAGGGCAGTCTGTCAGATGTCCAAGTTGGGGGGTCTATTTGTGACTGATCCTTAAGTTGAGCTTAATCTTCTTATCGAAATTTTAAATTCAGTTTTAACTTATATTTTCAATTGTGATCCCTGCCTGCAACTAATAAGTGATGGATTCCCAGTTTTAAAATCACTGTTCTATGCAAAAGATTTTTTTTTTACTTTTGTTTCATAGGAGAGACTCTAACTTAATATTACTGTTAAAGGATAAAAATAAATGTTTATTGGGAGTTTTGTCTTAGATAATTACATTCAATGTTTATAATGTTTCTTTACTTCTCTGAAATGAAATATCGATCAAGACCTGTTACTATATAAGCTAACTCTGTTATAGCAACAGCACTGATATGCATATTATCTTTTGGCTTTTATATATATATATATATATAAAATGCTTTGTGGCTAATTAGATTTTTTCACCTGTGGACAAGTGAACTTTATTTTCACTTTCTTGTCTATGGCCTTTAGCTGCACAGGTACAGCCATTTCAAATAATTTCATATTAAACATAGATTGTTGAGATTCCTTAGGCATTTGTGCATATCAGTTCCATCTATTCTTTCTGCATCTGCATGTACAACTTTTCTGCATTTTCTTCCCAACCTTTTTCTGAACTAAAGATTATACTGCTTCAGGTGCTTACAGATAGATACACACTCACTTGCTCTAGACATGAACATGTAAACACATACTGATAGAGTTATCTAATTGTGTGTACACGTTTTTCTCAAGGAGAACGTGTGACTATTTCTGAATACTTCTTTTATCACGTATACAGGCTGCTTTTTCGGCAGTTGATGAATACATAGCAACAGCTTGTCGACCTTTGGCATATGGTCCTAAAATAACTTGTGATTTAAAATGTATTGTTAAACTTCCTTAAATTGATTTTTAAGTTTGGAAGATGATATCATGACCACAGTTAATTTGCTTTCCAAATTTATTTTTTCTTTCATGATTCTCTGGTTCTAGTAATTGAAATTTATTTTCATATGAGAAGCTTTCCTATATTCTAAAAGTACCTTTCTTGAAGAAAGAAGCAGTTTAACATTCTTTTGTATTATTGTATGCACTCCATTCCCATTGCATTTACTTTCTCTCTTCCGAACTCTCTCTCACACACACACACACACACACACACACACACACTCTCTCTCTTGATAATTCCCTTGACTTTTCCCAGGCCTGCTTCGTAAAGTTGTGGTACGACTAACACTGTGTTTGCACTAACTATATCCTTGCCTGAGTTATTATTATTATTATTATTGTTGTTGTTCAAGAGGGTGGGGGCCAACAACAACAAGGATCTGGTGATTGTTCTGGAAACATTCTCGCACAGTCTCAACTGTCTCTCTACTATTCATCTATTTTGTAGAATATAGCACTTTACTGACTTATGTTGCTTGCCTTTAGCCAATGCAGAACACTCAGAATTATTTTTAAACAAAAGCTTTTCAGGCCCATTTAAATTGTATTTCTTTTCTTTTTTTAATCATATTTATTACTGATTTTCTTTTCCTTTTTCTTGGAAAAAAAAAATCTTTTTATTTATTTTTTTTTTTTAATTCTAACATCAGAAGTTGATTCACATTCCAGGCTGAATGCTGGTTTCTAATATAGTCAAAATATTTCTTATTACAGCATGCTGATTAAGTTTTCATTTTTAATTCTTAATTCTTTCCAATATTTTTAAATGTAGATTGATAACTCTTAAGAGACAGTAGCAAATGTAGCTGCAACCTAGTGGTTTCATACTGTTCTTATTTAGCATGTAACTGAAAAACTTTAACTAATAATTGTTACCAGTTTTACTTTAATACATGCTCTGTTTGTCCAATAAGATGTATGATCTGAATGGCATTGCATTATTATAATATTTCTTTGTTCAGATTTTATCATCTTCTTCATGAAATTGCTGAAGTATTAGTACTCCTTGTTTCTTGTGCAAGGAATTAAAATTTTATAACCACTGTCTATAGATGTTATTGGTATCATCAGATAAAATCCTCCTTGGAGATAAACATGAAAATCTCTGCCTGTTTGTCCCTAACATGGGGTTGATTTACTCACATCAGTCACTTTGTAAATTCTGATTGTCAGCATGAATAGCCAGAATGCACTTCTTTCTTTACTTATCTTCTACAGTCTTTGTTGCCGATTGAGATTCCACAGCTAAAGAATTTAGAAAATAAAATAGTTACTTTAAAATTCTTCTTGCAAAGAATGATGCATTCAGATTTTACCATGATCTGATTATGCTACTTGACAGTAGAGAAAATAGGCATTCTTACTTTTGCAACATTTTCATAGAGTTTTAAGAAAGAAAAAATATTTCTGAGGTTTTTCAGTTCTCTTGGGGCCATAAATCTAATTACTTTTTATGTTGATTTTCCTAACATTTAGATAGAAGAAGCCTCCAAATAGAATCAGTTCTTGATTATTTTCTACACAGATTTTCCATGTGAAAATTATTATAGAATATATATTGCTGGATTAAACTTGGATGTGAGTCTTCTAAAATGGGGGGAAATAAGGAACATGTTCATTTGTCATCAAAGTCAATCTGCTTTTGCCTGGAATGTGAACTATTTTTAAAGCTATGCCTTTCATGATAATAGTTCTTGGCTGGCTGGATGAGAGATTTCACTTCTTGTAAAATATTCCTAAGAAAGAATTCATTTTAACACTTTTGACACATGAAAGTTTCTTTGGAAATCATCTAGAAGTAGATCCTATAAACCACTCTTGCTAAGATTCCACTTGATAAAATGATAGTTGAATAATTTCTGGATAATTTACCTCTGAATTGTGCTCTACACAATTTTGTGGCAGTTTAAAACTTTATTAAAATACCATTAACTTGTGTGGCTACTGTGTATTCTGTATACCCTGCATCACGCTACATATACTATAGAATTTGACTATATTAGAGATTTTCAAAAAACATTTAAAAAAAAAAAAAATAAATAAATAAAAGAAACCTAGATTCCATTAAAAAGGTATTTAAGCAAATACCAAATTAAAATTTCTCATCCAGTTAGTTCAGTTTAATTTTTTTTTCATTTATTTTATTTAATTTTTTTTTTTTTTTATACTATATTTTTAATATTGGGGTTGAGATGAAAAAAAAAAAAAAAATTCTCCAAAGGCGCCAGACAGCCTATTCAAAGCACTAGCAATAAATTTAATTTCACCCTTTGCTTCTCTTCTCTGTAGATCGCACGTGGCGTGACGTCCTTCCCATGTTCACGTGACGTCCTTCGTTGTCTCCTCTGCCTGTCACGTTTGATGTCCTAAGTGTCAGCGGCATCTCAAGTTCTTCGCTGATTAACAAACAAAAAAGAAAAAAATTGTGAAAAAAAAAAAAAATGAAAGATAAATATATATACCATCACAGATATTTCTCTCTAAGATTCTATGAGGAAAAAAAAAAAAAGAAAATATATACTCAATAAAAAAAAAATGCAAAAAAAAAAAAAACAACAAAAAAACTGTATGTAGTTTTGTGAATGGCGTGCCACTGGGGCAACGTCAGTGTCCATCTCTGATGGTTTTGTCATCTTGAACTGTACAGCCAAGTGTCTGCTCCTGCTGCTGAAATGTTTGCATTGTTTTCAGTATGTTTCGTGTGTGCCACGTTTATCTTGACTGGGTTTGTTGTTGTTACATATGTTATTATTATTATTATTATTACTACTATTATTATCATTATTATTATTATTCTTGCGTCTGTAATTTTACTGGTCACCAACCAAGAGCTATTATATATATATATATATATATATATATATATATATATATATAAAGATATATATTAAAAATGTTATTGTATGCAATGTACATATCTTAACATCCAAAAAGAGTATTAAAAAAATTCTTAAAAAATTGGAAAAAAATTGTGGTTCTGAAAATCATTTTAGTTATCTGATCAAAATGACATTGGTTATTCTATTAAAAGGCAAAAAACAAAAAAAAACAAAAGGTAATGTGTATTGAAGGAGGAGGTTGGAATAATTTATAAAAGAAAGCAGTGATTTTTGTTAATTTCTCACTTGTCATTTGATTTCTTTTACACACACATACGCATATATATATATATATATATATATATATATATATATAAACCTATACATACTCACATGAATATACACACACACGCACATACACTTGATGAAAAGGTTAAAAAAAACCAAAAAAAAACACAACCTCCATGCCCCAGTGGTGCTTCTCCACATAAATTTGAGAGTTGACACCTTTAATCCAACATTTTCTAGTTTGTTTGTGGTATTGAAGTAGTGTACAAGAAAATGTTCGACGTGTTTGTAGTTTGACTCTGTTTTTTTTTTTTTTTTTTTTTCTTTTTCCTTTCTTTTTTTTTTTTTTTTTTTTCTTTTTAAACCCCTTGGTGCCGTGATAAATTGTTTGCAGTGTTTATTGGGAGACAGTTTTGTTAATGTTCCATAAATTTTGTTGAATTTGTGTGAGACTTTAACCTATAATAGTTGGACTCTTGTGATCTTCATTGTACAGTAAAAAGAAAAAAACAAAAAACAAAACAAAAACCCAAAACCCACTTGAACCACTCCGGAGTCATTACTGTTTGGCAGAATGCTGTGTACATCCTTAAAACTGACTATAGAATGCCATTACCCTTCTGACACTTCTCTCTCTCTCTCTCTCTCTCTCTCTCTCTCTCATTCCTCCAGTTGTGAGAAATTCCACAAGGAATTTAACAGCCAGGGTGTTTGATCCCTTTTAATATGGGCCAGGTATGGAAAAGAAACTAAAGATAAATGACTAGAGGAAGAAAGAATTGTGCTAATTCATGATTACCTCATTATTATGATGAAGTTAACTAATATGATAAAATTAGGTATATGAACCTGTTACATTTGTCATTAGATGGGAGGTACTTTGATATTGCTCCTGTCTTCAAGTTTGTCCAAAAAAAAAAAAAAAAAAAGCAAAAAAAAAAAAAAAAAGATTAAAAACAAATAAAAAAGGCCAAAAAACAAAAAAGAGCAAAACTATTTCCATTTTTAACTGTGACCATCTTTCACCAAAAATAAACAATGTCCTTCTCTCTTGTAATCCTATGTATCTAAAAGAAAAAAATCAGTCACAGATTATTTCGTTTTTTGTTGTTTTTTCTGTCTATGTCTGTTGTCCTTTTGTATCAGATGTTTTTTTTAATATACATATATAAATATATATATATATATAATGTATTTGTGCAAGATGTGCACTTGCATATGCTGCATATATTGTGTGTGTGTGTGTGTGTGTGTGTATATATATATATATATATATATATATATATATATATATACATACACACATTAATGGAATGTGTCAAAAGAATTAATCTTTCAGCTGCTATGAAATCATTATGAGAAAACAGTCTTAGGAGATATTAACAGTAACATAGGCTTTGGAATTACTTAAATTTCACTGCCTGAAAGGATATTTTGCAAAAAAAATTTCCTAATTAATGAAATCACATTTGAACTACAAAATACTTATAAAAAATATCAGAAAAATGTTGGTTGGGTAACAGAATCAAGATGGGTGGAAGGAACTTATTTCAGTCTTTAAGGATATATTATCCATTAAAAAAAAAAAAAACACTATTAAAATTTTTTTATCTTAAGTTAAAAAAAAAAAAAATATATATATATATATATATATATATATATATATGTAGATATGGTGGGAC